GGGGGGGGGGGGGGGGGGGGGGGGGGGGGGGGGGGGGGGGGGGGGGGGGGGGGGGGGGGGGGGGGGGGGGGGGGGGGGGGGGGGGGGGGGGGGGGACGGCAACTTCGGTTACCGGTACAACAGGTGCCCACGGATGCGCTGATTTAGCTGCAACACCCAAAGCAGGTTTCAAGCGATACGATTGTCCATCAGCAGAATTCCGATTTGTTGCGAACGCCCCCCGAGATGAAACAGTGCATACCCCAATAAATTTGTACCCAATAAATTTGTACCCAATAAATTTGTACGTGCTGCCGATGACCATCCAACACGCCAAGGGCGAAGCGGGTAGGCGTCATCGGGGCTTTACCGTGATATTTCTCAGAACGGCGTCCTCGCACAGTCGCTTCAACGACCCCATTAGGTACTGGTCGGAAAGGTCCATCAGGTCCAGGCAGAATTCTAGATCAAGGGAGTCGGCTCCGAGCGCAATGACCTGCCAGAAACAAGGCACAGGAGCGTCGCAATGGGTCGTGCGCGTAGTTCGGAAGGGGATCTGTTCAGGGCAGGCTTCGGGGTTATAACAGCACAGCGTGAACTGCATTTGCCGACAACTTATCGAAGAGACAGACAGTAGCACCACCGTATTGTCCGTGTGGAAAGACTCCATTTTTCCAAACGCGATGATGACGATATGGTACCGTATCGTCGGCATGCACGCCCAACCAAAAGGCTGGTACGTACGCACGGTCAAACAGGTAACAGCCTAGACAGTATGGCTGAAATTTCATTGGGATCGTTCCACCTAGCGGCAGAAACACACCCTGTCGGCAGGCACACCTTATCTGTGTAAATGTACTCGAGGAAGGCCAGAAAGACGGCATGCCTGTGGTTCGGCATGGGAATGCTTCCCCCGCCGGAACACGCCTCCCTCATAGGGCCGTCCAGCATGCGCCCCAGGGGCTCACAGCGGGCGCCAAGAATACACCTTGGTTGGCATTCGCGTTCACGGGCGTTTCGTGATGGGAACAGAGATCGAGAGACAAAACCGTTCAACATCGACAGCGGTAGCCATTGGCAGCACGTTGCCTATAGCTCATACGCGCTCTCTGTCGAACTGGGGGGTTCAACTCACTGCGTGCAAACCTATCGTGGGCGGCCCGCTACTTGCAAGGCCTGCGCCATCGTCCGAGTGTATCCCCAGCGACGTGCAAGGCTGCAGGCAACATAACAACCCTCGCAAAAAACTGTCCTCCGCGAGAACCAACTCTCGTGCGCCCAACCCCCCCAAACCCAGATGATTCCTCCAGCCAATCGTTGAACCCCTCACACTCGGTCCCTTCCTACCCTCCACATTTTCACAGACTACCCCGCTGCCGTACGTACCCACGTGAAACACCCATTTTCGGCGCCCCCCAGGACGCTTCGCACCCACCTATGCCCGTAGACGACCTTCCCGTCCACGGCAAACGCCACGTCGCTCCGGGATGGGTTGTTGAGCAGGCGGTAGAGGTCGGAGCTCAGCGACTTGGAGTCGCGGACGACGAAGGCATTGCCGATCCCTGCTTTGCGTTCCAGAGGCGGACCCGTAAGGCACAGCGTGTGGTAGAACCCCGCCGCCACCTGTGAGCGTCGTCAGGAGCCAGAGGAGGGTGTGTATTGTTGTACACAAGTGTTTGTAGCGTTGCTGCGCTGTTACTAGTCCTTACCTCCCTCCTGCAACACGGTCGTCCAGTTTTTTCCCCTACGTTGTGAATAGTGCAGGGAGCCACCTGAATAATTCGCATGTGAATACAAAAATACTAGTCTTTTTAAATATTCTTATGGACATGGGTCCCACATACTCCTCCTTAAGTCCGGACTCAACCTCATTAACTTGCCTTTGTAGAAGAAAGTATTGGTAGCAAAAGAGCACAACCACTACAAGCTCCCAAACCATAGTGGCCAGAATCATCTACCGGAATCATGTGGCGCCCTACACACTAGGGCATTCGCCGCCAGGGAGCGGTGGGTTGTGGAAATTGAGGGGGGGGGCAAGCATATGGGGGGCGGTTGGCCATCCCATCCACGAAGCCGACACCCTGAAAGAGGTGAGAACGAAGAGCGGCCGTAATGTGGATTAGCCCATAGCTGAAAGGATACAGAAATGTGCATCTGTGTATGTGATCTCGTTTCGGACGTAAGCAAGTCCACTTTTCCGGGGTGGTGTTGGACTCAACAGCGACAGCTTATTTCATTCTGTGATCAACAGTGTTTAGCGACTTTTCAAATTCTAGACGTCATTTTCTTGCGACCTTTATCTTTCGTTTTATCCAAAAACGGACCAAGTCACTCCTTTCCTTCGTCGATCGTGAGCATGACGTGAAACAAAAAAAAGAGCACACGGGAAAAATCTTCCCCCCATGCCTCCCCCGGTGTTTGCCATCGGGGTTGGGTTTTCGTCGCTTGGCAACGACGTTGTAAAACAAGCTGCCCCCCCCGGTGTTTGCCATCGGGATTGGGTTTTCGTCGCTTGGCAACGACATTGTAAAACAAGCCAATTCACTTCGTGAACTCGGCAACCAGGTTTCCGTTTTTTTTTTTTACCTTCGGTTTTTTTTTTGGCGGTAACCATAATGG